AATATGAAGGAGCATTATCGGAAGTCATAGATCCGAAGGGAAATATGGTTTCTTCAAAGACAACGTGACGAGAGATGACAATTTTCTTTGTGTGGAGGTCTAGACATCGATATCCTTTGTGATTGGTTGGGTAGCCAAGAAAAACACAAGAGGTTGATCTAGATGAAACAATATGAGATGATTTTATTTGATGATATACGTATTTTCATACTTATAATATATGGGGTAGTGAAGGGTAAAGAGGGATGAAAATAATAATGAAATGTCGTAACCTTTATAGTACTACTAGACTAGCGATGTAGTCGCCTAGTAGGGTATTGACGATGACCACAAACCATTCTAGACAATTCAGGTCAAACATAGACATGCTTGCAACCTGTAGATGTTTATACGTCATACACATGCAGGTTTACAACCTGTAGTTGTTAATCAATCGTACATGGGCAGGTTTACAACCTGTATGTGTTAATCAATCGTACACGTGCAGATTTACAACATGTAGTTGTTAATCAATCGTACACGAGCAGGTTTACAACTTGTAGGTATTAATCAATCGTACACGGGCATGTTTACAATCTGTAGGTGTTAATCAGTTGTACACAAGCATGTTTACAACCTGTAGGTGTTAATAAATTGTATGCGGGAATGTCAGTGGCCTGTAGGCTTTGATGAACCGTATGCGGACAGGTCTATGACCAGTAGGTGTTACTGAACTATACATGGGCAGGTCCTCGACCTATAGATGTTATGGAACCTCATACATATGGGGATGTTATGGAACCTCATATAGATAGGACTACGAACTGTAGGTATGAAATAATTATTCATGTGGGTACTCTATTCACCCCATGATTATCTTATTAGCATATATTGCTAAGGAATCCTCGAAGCAATATTATTCACTTAGAGATCCTTTAGGATAGATCCTTTGAGATCATCGGTTTAGGATCAAGGAGTGAGAATAACGGGAATGGGTAATTGGGTTATTAGTTTGATTCAAAATATATATAACAAATTAAGTATAATATTGTGGGTTGAAAACCCTATGTACTCACCAGGTTTCCCAACATGACCCACTCAGTTTCTTTGCATCACAGGTAGTGGTGCAAAGGTATATGATGTTTGGATCCGATGAGAAATTTGAGGAAATTTAGGCCATTAGATGTTGTAAGGCCAGTAATGATTGCGTTTATGCTTATGTTTCTTGTATCAGTTATGACATCCCAAGTTTTTAATAAATCAATATAAAACATTTCTTCGGAAATACTTTTATGAGACAAATTCTGCAATAATAATAATATATGTTTTAAAATAAGCATAAATAAAAAGGTATTTTCTGACCGTAAAAATGGGAATGTCACCGATAATATAATCCACGTAAATAACCAAATATGCAATGTGACCACCCTTCCTGAAGATAAAGAGAGAAGAATCACACTTGCTATGAACAAAACCAATACGTGAGATAAAAGTAGCAAAGCACTGAAACCAAGTGTATCGATCCTGTTTGAGACCATATAGAGATCTCTGAAGTAAACAGACATGATCCGGTTTGGATGGATCCCGAAAACCAGGTGGTTGTTGCATGTATACAATCTCCTGAAGGTGACCACGAAGAAATGCATTCTTCACGTTAAGGTGCCAAATGGGACACTTATCAAAATGGTGGAGTGATCTTGATTGGTTACATGAATTGAGGATTCGTCTCTAACTAAAACACTGGAAGATAAATGTTTTCTTTTATCTGAAATAGATGAGAGTATACTTGCATCTGATTGGAGATGGGAGGTGGCTCCGGTGTCCATGTACCATTTTGCATGTCCAGGGTCATTTAGAGACATAGTGTTGAACATATGTGGGAGTGTAGTGGGATGATCAGACGATATCGGAGGCTGGTGGGATGCATTAAATGCTTGTTGAATAAATAGGCTAGGTGATGTTGGCCTAAAAAACTGATGAGAGCTCTGTTGGGTTTGTGACAGTCGTGGCCCAATGGACTGATGAGCAGTAGCAGATGGGGCCGAAGGAGGAGGCAGGATACCCGACTGAGACGCAATCTGGTACCACCCATAAGCCCAACCTAACGATACATAGGGTGGTCTGCTGTTCTTGTGCGACATTTGTTGCTATTGCTGCCATCCATAGTTCTGTCAACCACCGTGCCTTCCTCCGCCACGACCGCCTCTGTGACTCTGACTGCCCCGTCCTCCACGAAATCCACCTCGATTGTTGTTGTTGTTTTGATAAGTGGAGTCAGTGGCGATGACTATGGGTGACGAAGTGTGATCAGAGTGAGTGATAGAGGCGGTGCGATTCTCATCCTAAACAAGTTGTTGATCTTCGAGCACCAACATAGAGCGAGTGTCTCAAAATGATGGGACCAGTTGTTGATGTCAGATGGTGGTTGCAATGTGATGGTACTTCACTGATAGCCCATTCAACATGTAGGAGACTAGGTTGATTTCTGGAACTTTTGCATCCATGTTCTCAAGAAGATCTGCTAAAGCTTTAACACGATTGCAATAGTCAACCATTGAAGAATCACTAATATTAATATTTATGAGCTCATTGTTAAGCTGGATGACTTTGTTATTCTTGTTATCACAGAAGACTTTTCAATTGTCTCCCAAACTTCATAAGCCGGAGTTCGTTTTGTGAAGATGAGATGAAGGAGAGGAAGAGATAGAGTATCGTAAAGCCATGAATTGACTATAGAGTCATTGTGTTTCCATGATCGGAATGGTGTTATCAGAATCTTTCTCAGCAGAAGAAGTCTGAGGCTGAACGTGAGGAACAAGATGTTCAATAACTCCATAACCAATACAGTGAATCTCAAACAATTCACGCCAAATATCATAATTCATCTTATCTAGATCAACAACAATAGGTACATCATGATTGATGTTTATTGTAGAGGAAGGTTTTTTTGTGAGTGCAGACATGTTGGAGATAGATCAGAGAGAAGACTTTTCTCTCTGAGATATAAGCATAAGAATAATTAGGAGACGACTAGGGTTAGGATCTTACACTCTGATACCATGAAGCTAGGTATTTTCCCATGCAACATATCTTCTATTAATCACCAATATATACATCTACAAAATACAGTGAAGGCCCAATACGAAGGAGGTCGAATATACAAACACAATACAAAAGGCCTACACTAAATTACAAATACAATAGTCCGCTAACATTCATGCCTATCTGGAATCCTTGCTAAACTGAAATGACATTCAACCTCATTTGATGAAGGGAGTGAATGCAAATACCAAAAGATGTGTGATATTACCAGGTTGAATGTTCGATGGCGTGGAGAAGTGATTAAAAGGTTTTTCGATATGACAATGAGATATTATGAACATAAGGAGCCCATCTTATAGGAAATGGAAGATAAGAATAAGTGGATAGATGAGAAGATGCTCGAAAAAAGGCATGTGTCGATGAGGAAGTAAAAGATGTAGAACTATCGTTGCTTGATAAAAAAACTCAAGTAAACTAACTTCATTTCTACATCACATGGAGAGTGATATATTCCTCAAACAAAAATGGATCGATTGCGAGAAAACTAAATTCCCTTTTAATGAATAGTTAGTTATATGTATTGAATCTCTTTTTAAGTAGCTTTTTGTATTAATGAAATATTCACATATTTTGCGTTAAACTAAAACAATATATTACATAACTACACGTTAAAAAACAGAGACAAAAATCATAATAATATCCACTTACATATACATTATATAACGAAATATGTCTAAAGTTACATGTTCCCCCAACTATCTATATAAATTGTTAGTCTAATCAGAGATGGAACCCTCAAGGCCATAGACCCGCAATATGTCAATTGTCAACATCCCATGGAAAAAGCAAACAAAAACTATATAGTATCCCTATATGTTGGATTAATGTGATACATTGGTGCCCTGCAAAAGATCAATATGATGCTCTCAATGGGGATAGGATCGCTCCCGACCATCGTCCAGTAATTGATATCCCCTAATGCCATATGGTACATCGATAGCTTATGATGCATACTTTGTATATGAGATGCGTCTATGTTTATTAAAAACAAATCATATGACATGAGAGTTTTATTGCTATCAAAGATGTTTGGACCGTTCATAATGTTCTTATTATGATAGTCAATGTGTATATCAAGACTTGTTATTATTTTTTATACACTTCGTTACAATGTCAATATAATTTTTTTTTCTATTTTGCCAAATAAAGCTATTTAAATTTTCTAACTTATTTTTGTATCAACCTCTAAATTTCTTAAGAAAAAAAAAATCATATTATCTCATCTTACAGATTACATAAAACGGAATATACCATGGGCTCCAAACTAGACCTGTCAATGGGGCGGGTTTTGACCCTGATTCGCTCCAAACCCGTAAGAATTTAACGGGTTTGGATTTTAATTTTTGATTCGTTTACCCGTTTACGATCCATTTCCGTTTACCCTGTTAGTAAATGGGTCGGGTATGGATCATTGTCGATCCGCTCCACTTATGACCTGCCCCATTTAATATATATATATATATATATATATATATATATATATATATATATATATATATATAACTCGATGTCTTCGTAAAATGTGATATTTATTGTATTGGACTTTGAGTATTAATTAATGTACATCTTGTTTAAGTAGACATTTTATCTTTTTGAGAAATATTATTACTTTGTAGAACACATAAATATTATGAAAATTTAATATTATAAAAGGGTCGGGTTAATGGGTCGGGTATTCGTTGATTCGGTGGATACGGGTATGGATTCGACTATTAAAGACCCTGAGGGTTATTGGAGCGGGGCGGGTCATGTTTTTATTTTTTTAAACGGGTTTGGATCAGGATGATTCGCTCCAAACCCGCCCAATTGACAGGTCTACTCAAACGCGATCCATAATGTAACCCGTCTGGGGTGACGTACGTCGTTAGTCGTTACCCCTTCAAAACTTTATCCGTGTGGTTCAGAAAGCAGATGAAACAATGGTGGTAACTGCTGCAACTACATCTCTTCCACCATTACCCATTTTGAAATATCATGCCATCGGATTCCCAATTAAATCTTCGCTATTCATACTTCCGTCACCAAGAACCAATTGCATCCCCCGCCTTGTAATTCCTCCCCGCGCCGCCGTAATCCGCCCAATTTCCGCTACTACGGATGGGGTTTTTCTGCTATCTGAAGCAAGTTCCCCTGAAAACACCGATCAGATTGTTTCCACAGCCTCCGATAACGGTGATGGAGTCTCCATCGTTATTTCAGTTCTTCTTTCCATTGCTTTTGTTGGCTTATCAGTTCTCACTATTGGGGTAAGGTACTGTATACGTCGTTAGATCATGAATATTCATATGCAATTCCACATTTTTTTTAAAGTTCTTAGCTGTTGGTTTAGATTTGAGGTCAAAAGGGCTGATTTCATTTACAAATTATCATAATGCTGAAATTTTTAGACAAGAAAAGGGGTGGTCGAACTTTGAGGTCAAACAGACAATTTTTCTGGTATCGAATTCGGTATCTGTTCTTTGAAGCTACTCATAAAATTTATAAACCCAGTACTCTCGTAAGAATCATAACAAAATTTAAAAAAAATTAGGTCTAATCTACTGCAAATTTGGTATCGATTTCCAGTTTTTAAAGATGACATGATTGACTTCAAAAGTCAAAGTGTACATACATTCTTTGATGGCTTGACATGTATGCTCATCGAATTTCATATCAATTCTAGAAATGTTTTGAGCAATTTTGATAATCTCATTAGATTTTCAACAAAATATCTCAAACCGAAAAGTGTAGATGAAATCTGTAACAAATGTAGTATCATTTTGAGCTTGAATTATATGTTACACCAAATTCGATTATATTACTTCAAATATTTGAGGAAATTAGATAATCCCATCAGACTTATGTTTTGAGTTCCAGTAAGTGTCATGTTGACTTTAGAAGCCAAACTGTATTTTTGGGTAATTTGAAGTTTTCGTTCGTGTGTGTGTTTTTCAGGTTATCTACATAGCTGTAACAGATTTCTTACAGAAAAGGGAGAAAGATAAGTTTGAGAAAGAAGAAGCAGAGAAAGCAAAGAAAGGTGGCAAGAAGAAGAGAGTAAGAGCAAGAGCTGGACCGAAAGGATTTGGAAAGAAGATCGAGAGTGACGATGATTTTGATTTGTAGATTCTAGAAAATTTCAATTTAAAGATGTACACAATTCTTGTTCATCACCGCAGAATTAAGTGTTAGAATACTCGATGCAAAAAGGTTTTATCCTTTTGAGTTTTGGTGTATGTTATCTGTGTTTTACATGCGAAAATTAAAAAAAAAAAAAAAAAAAAAAAAAAAAAAACATAATTTTTGAAGTTTATTGTGTTAGAAATCTTCAAAAATATCATTTACACTGCAAAATCTATTTGTTTGTTGTTATTTTTGTAGGTAACACTATAATAATAAACTTTATTTTGTTATGAAAAATGATTTTAGAAGACTTTCAACACACAAAAAAAAAAATTAAAAAAATGTTTTTTTTTGTACAGATAATACATGGATTTTCATAGACGTTGTTTGTGAAAACAAAAATTGATTTTTTTTTCATCTAGTTTTAGGACCGATTTTTTTTTGTTGATGTTTGAGATTTTCACTAACGTTTTCTACAAAAATATTAAAAAACATATCATTTTATAAAATTTTCACAATAACATCTGTAAGAATCATTACTAATTTACTAGCTATTTTTTGTTTAAATTTTGAAAAATAAACAAAAAAATTAGTCTGCCTTTTTCTCTTTCTTTTTACCATTTTTGTGATTAATACTTTATAATTTTATATAATTAACTTTAATATGCTTACTCCATCTATTTTTTGTTGCCTAATTAAAAAAAGGAAAACTTCTCATCCCACATCGCCTAGGGAGAAGAGCTTATTAGGGTCTATAAACAGTGTTCGAGCTTCATTGTCGCCGGACTCGGTTGCGCGAGTCTATGACCCAAGTGGGGGCATTAAGGTGGGTTTCGGAGGGATGTTGAAAGGGGACACAGACTATGGAGGTTCCCTGTCCAAATCCATGAGGGGAAGGTCGGGTCGGGCTCTAAAGGTTCGCGGCGACGATGCATTAATTGAAATGGTTATTGCACGGCGTTTGGCAGTCTCTGAATGGTGTCGGTTAGGATCCACGGTATAAATAACTGACGGGGGCCCGAGTGCAAGAACCACCGTGCGCTGGTGGCGACCTCTTGAAGAGCGAGCAAGCCACTGGAATATCTATTTTCCATCCAGACCTGTAACAGGGAAAGGGTGGCGTATGGGCTGACTTATCAGAGCAGCAACCGGCACATTGACTGTATAAGGTGCGAACCCTTAATCTTCTCATGGACTTGGCTGATACTTCGGTGGTTACACTGTCCTCATCAACCCCAACTCCCATCTTTTGACTTTCACTTTCATTCCTCCTTCGCTCACCAAGTGTTTGATAAAATGCTCCTTCCAAATTTAGAGTCTATGTCATTTAGCAGATTAGCTTCCATCGTGTCTTTTTATTCTATTTATTTTTTTTAAATATTTTATGTTCTACTTTCTGAGATTTTTTACTGTGCATCACCATTGTTGCACAGACAAGGTTTGCATCTTTTGTACAGGCCAATCCATTGATGAATGGCACAATCTGCCATTCTGTAATCAGGATCATGAATTCAGTTCACTTAACCTTTCGATTTGATTTCTTACAGCTTTGTTGATGCGCCTTGATTTTGTTGCTTTAGTAGTGTTTCTTTTCCCATGAATTCTGCAATTGAATCCATCCATTTTAAAACAGAATTTGGTTATGCCTTCTGATTTAAACCATCAACTTGTTTAAATAATTTGTAACTTGAACAATCAACGTTGGTTTGGACCCTTTGAATATCGTGGTGAAATTTTCCTGATACCCTGCATTAATGGGATAGCTTTTGATAAGAATATTGCTTTCTGATGACCTTTCTAATATGGAGCAGAATTTATACATAATGATGTTCCCCATCAACTTTACTTAAAACAAGCACGTACAGTTTTATCAATCTTTTGAGTGAAAGGACAGAAGTTGTCTATCAATGGAGTTAACCCAAGCATTTTACATAGTTTTTTTTTTCTTTATTTTAATTATTGGAAACCTTCTGTTGGATAATCTTAAAAGTTCATACTTTGTTAGAAGATGTCTATCAAAAAGATTATTACAAATGATTAAAGATAAATTGTTATGTGTAAGCTGACATGGCACAATCATCTATAACGTATAAACTATATATACGTCTTGAAACCTCCTGTTTCAGCCTTAAAAAGGAAATGCATTAATTATAACTGTTTCATCTCAAAGTTTTGAATGTAAAAGAAGAACAAAAAACAAATGTATATATATATATATATATATATATATATATATATATATATATATATATATATATATATATATATATATACCTTGGAGCATGAAAATGAGGATGAAGCATCAATACTGAAGGAACTAATCAAACAGGGAGGTGAGTTATTTAGACACAATTAAAATCAAATTCAGACAAGTGAAGTGAACAACCTTAACTTGCCACATCTCAAGCAATTTAAATTTATTTTGACAAAACTTACAAAAAGAAGGTAACCACTTGGCAAACAGATTCAACTGATGGACAAGATAAAGATAGTTTCAACTTTCAATTTCCCACAAACCAACACACCATTACCAATATCACTCCCTCTACGTACACTAACAGAACTAACCCATATGAGCGTAGTTTTTCATGCAAATCAATCATAAAAACCAAAACTAAATGGTTTTTTTCTTTACCAAAATCCAAGATGTTCACAACTTTTGAGAAGCAGTGTAGTATGCAGAATTCGTGGAACCGTTGTGTAGGCTAAAACTGATGGTCAAATAGGTACTTCTAAATTTTAAATTTTTTCTAAATGGAATAAATTACAAATTTCATGAAAGTGCTATTAATAGATTTAAGGTTTTTCTGTATGTATTGATTGAGAAGTGTACAAAATAAATACACAAGGCAAATCGAGAAAAGGAAAATATTCTATGGAATCCCTTGATATTAGGGATTACCTACAATTAAGATTATAATTAGCTACCATCTTTCCTACAATAAATACAAAAATAATTTACATTTTCCCACACTCCTCCTCAGGTGAGTGGGATCCCATTCCCAACTTGGATAAGATTCTTTCAAACATTGGTGTACTTAGCCCTTTAGTGAAGACATCTACTAGTTGTTTATGAGTAGGCACAAATAGGATATAGTTTAAGCCACTGTCTAACTTGTCCTTGACAAAATGTCTGTCAACTTTAACATGCTTTGTCCGATCATGCTGAACTGGATTGTGAGCTATGTTTATTGCAAACTTATTGTCACAATACAACTTCATTGGTCCCTCCCAGTTGATCCTTAGATCTTCAAGGATAATTTTCAGCCATAATAGCTCACATATACTGTGTGCCATTCCCTGAAATTCTGCTTCAACAGTAGATCGTGCCACCACACTTTACTTCTTGGTTCTCCGTGTCATAAGGTTTCCTCCTAGGAGAGTGCAATACCCTGTTATTGATCTACTGTCAACTGTCAACTGATAACGTAGCATAGCTTGAATCGGTGTACGCCTCAAGAGTCACACAATTGTTTCTTTCAAACATGATCTGTAACAGCCCAATTTTCACACCCAAAAATTTCATTTTTAGAGATTACTTTAATTAAAACATTCGGAGGAAAAACATTGTCAAATCATAACATCTCATAAAACTATGTATAATGTCTGAAATCCAAATCATAATAGTGATAATGTCAGAGCACAATCCCAAGGAAACTCATACTGCGGAATCTGGGGTGTGTGTATGATGTGCAGCTACCGCGCCGGCTCCTTCCCCTTCGATGAAGAGGTACCTGAAACAAAACTGAAAACCGTAAGCACAAAGCTTAGTGAGCTCCCCCATAATACCACATACCATCCACCTATAATGAATAGCTAGGAGATACGGGTCTCGCCCACACTCATGGAGATACGGGCCTCGCCCACACGCCGCTAGCTGGGAGATACGGGCCTCGCCCACACTCCACTATCTCTGAGATACGGGTCTCGCCCACACTCAGCTACTAAACCATAACATACAAGTATCACACAGACAACGAGTATAAACAATTCTATCATACAAGCATATATCATAATCAAACTCAACTATGAGATACGGGCTCCGCCCACACTCCGATACTAACATATCGTCTATACGGGCCGACCTTGGTGCCTTAGACCTGTTCCTACTGGAAGCAAACTCACCTCAAACGAGTAGCTGTTGATAATCTGTGCGGGGGAATCTCCGACTGCTGCTGCTCCGGAAATCCTCCGGCTATATTCCTCACAAAACACTTAATCAGAATCTGGTATCTACCCTTTAGGGTAAAATGACTATTTTTACCCCAGACCAAGTCCAAGTCAAAGTCAAAGTCAAAGTCAACGTCAAAGTCAACTTCCATTTGACCCGACTCGTCGAGTTGGGTCGTCAACTCGTCGAGTCCCTCTCTCTTCAACTGTCCTCCTCCATGTCCCTACTCGTCGAGTTTAGCAACGACTCGACGAGTTCTCCTTACAACCTCAAATGAACCTTCATCTGACTAGCCGAGCGGTATGAACACTCGTCGAGTCCATCTTCATCCTAAGAATACGTCCTGTCCTCGACTCGCCGAGTTGTATGAACAACTCGTCGAGTTCATCTTCAAGGGTTGGGAGATTGCCTTGGACTCGCCGAGTCTGTTCTAGCACTCGCCGAGTCCTATGAATTCCAGGTCTAAAACTAAGTCCAACGCGTTGGGTCACCCTCCTTGTCCTGCTACAACCCTTCTAACACCCAACTGAGTTCTTTTGACCCTCAACGGGTATGGGACTCAAAGCCCGGGACTCGTCGAGTCCCAAGAACGGACTCGCCGACTCGGTAACGTCCACACTCAAAATCCTCGATTTCTGATGTACAACTCATGACCAAAAGATAGATCTAGGCTCCTACAATCGTTCTAGCACGTAAAGTTACAAACTTTACGTGCATGCATGGGACTTTGAGTCCAAAAGGTCCTAAAACAAGCTCCTGGGTTGCATGGAGTCTTCCTTGGGTGGAAAAGCACCCACTTTCTGCCTTGTGACCCCTCAAAGGACCTAGATCCGAAGCCTTGTCCCCAACCATGCTTACATTCATGGTTGGCTACCTAAAATGGCTTATAAAAGCCCTAAATCTCCACAAAATGGGATCTAGCAAATGA